CCCGCTCCCGCTCCTCCCGGGCCGCGCCGCCGCCGCCCCTCGCAGGGATCCCCCCGGTGCGTGTAGCGAGCATCCTCCCGGCGCCCTCCGTACCGCCGGCACCGCCCCGCCCTGCGAGCCCGCCCCTCCTCAGGTACCGCATCCCCCCGGCTCTTCCCCGTGCCCTCAGCTCCCTCATCCCCTCGGTTCTGCCCTCACGAATCGCCCCCGCTCCGCCATCCCGCCGTGCCCGGTGTCCCGGCACCCTTTCCCTCAGCCCACCGTGTCCCTGATCCCCGCCGTGCCCGGTGTCCCGGCACCCTTCCCCTCAGCTCACCGTGTCCCTGATCCCCACCGTGTCCCTGATCCCCACCATACCCGGTGTCCCGGCACCCTTCCCCTCAGCCCACCATACCCGGTGTCCCAGCCTTTCCCCTCATCCCACCGTGCCCGTGATCCCCGCCGTGCCCCGTGTCCCGGCACCCTTCCCTCACCCGCCCTCGCTTTTCCCCCTGAGCACCGAGCACCCCCGGGTCTCTGGGGTCTCCTCAGGAGCAGCCTCACCCTCCCGGTGCCATCTGCCCTGCCCTGAGCCCATCCCCTCGGGGGTCTCCCCTCAGCGCTCCTCGCTGCTCAGCACAGCCCTGTACAACATCCAAACCTCCCTCACACGTGTCCTGTTTGTTCCCACCGTCCTGGGGGATTTCTTGTGTGTTCCGAACTCTTTCCTTGTTGACTCCTGTCTTCTAAGTCCCTTGCTTGAAAACGTGTGTAAATCACTATTAAATCCATTAGTGGCTTGAGTTTGCTTTCTTTTTTTTATGCTGGTCTTTTTTTTTTCTTCCCCCCAGTGTTCTTGGATCAGATTGTGACTCTTCAGGCCCTGATTTTAATGACCCCTTTCCTTTGCTAATATGCAAGAGGTACCTGCCCCCAGTGCCCCCACTGTTTGTGTGCCACTGAATTAACATGATACTTCACATTGTCCTTAACCCAGTGCATTCTCTAATTCCATGTGGGTTTCTGAAAGATTTTGTGGCACTTTGGCTTCTTTCCCCTTACGTGCTAGAATTCCAATACCGCTTGGTGCCCTTCGTGGTGTGTTTCCTCCATGTTTTCATTATTTTTGGCTCCCGTTTTCCTCCCTCTGTTGCCGCTTGCCCCTGTTTCCTCTGGGATTCCTGAGGAGGGAGGGCTGTGAGTGGGTGAAGCCCAGCCCCGGCGCTGATCCGTCCCGCTGTGCCCCTCAGGCCGGTGCCATGGCCACGGACGTGGTGGAGCCCCTGCTCCCTGACTGCAGAGGGGACGGCAGGAGCGGCGCCCGGCCCGACGCCGATTACCCGCTGCGGGTGCTCTACTGCGGAGGCAAGTCCTGGGCATTGCTGGCTGGGCAGCACCGCCTCTTCCTGCAGCGAGCCACTGAGGCCGTCAGCACAGGAAAGGCCTCTGGGCATTAGTATGACAGCAAGAAATGGAGTATATGACACTGCTGTGCTGAGTTGGAGGTGTTCTGTACTCGTTCTGCTTGTAGTTATGTGGGTGAAATTTTAAGGGGAGTGAGTTGTCTTACAGGTGTGTTTTTAGACAGGAATGTCATTTTGCTTCAGGAATGCAGTAGGAAGCAGCCCTGCTGTGTGTGGAAGTCTGCACAGGTGGTTTGGCTGTCCCCTCTTTGGGACACTGGCAGCTCTTGGAGAAGGGAAAGCTGACCGAACCACCTGGTGCTTTGTTCAGTGTCTCTCTTGCCTCAGAAAAAAGTTATGTTTTGTTCTGTAGCTTTTCCCAACCTTGGGCTTCTCCTCCCCTTCCCTCAGTGACTGGCAGCTCTTGCTGTGATGGTTTTACCCTAATGCAGAGCGTGTGAGCACAGGTCTAATGAGAGAGGAATTAAAATGTGGAGTGGCAACAATAAAGAAATGTTTTTGAGTCACTGTGTGGTTATAACCAGAAGTTATGTAAGAACTCATCCCTGACTTTGAAACACCATTTGGAATTTAATTACTAAGTCTGTAAGTAAAAAGTAAAAAATTCCTTTTGTAATCAGTTCTTTTTTTTTCCCCTTCTTTCTCCAGTCTGTTCGTTGCCAACAGAGGTGAGTTAATTTTTTATTGTCTACATTTTTTTCTGTCCTATTACACCCTGTTTTGGTGTATTTGTGATGCATTTTGTCATTCCTCCACTAACAACATTCATGTGGCTCTTCCCTAGTACTGTGAATACATGCCTGATGTGACTAAATGCAGACAATGGTTAGAAAAGAATTTTCCAGATGAGTTTGCAAAACTTACAGTAGGTAAGAGTCTTTTCTGTTTTCTAGCTGATATGTGTCCTTGGACATACTTGGAAATATCTGGGCTTGTCCAGTTCTTATCTCTTTCCTTTTCCTGCTGTGTCATGTGAAAGTTAATGCTTTGGATGCTGTGAAATGGGTTTTATAATGTCAGAAAACACTAAATAATCAATTTGTAGTTTCATTAATAGTATTTGAGCTTTCCTAATTTCCTGCCATAAACAGTCATCCATGCACTTGTTTCCCATCAGAGTTAGTTTATTGGATTTTATGTCTTTCCAGTTTCCAGTGGATGGCTGGAGGATAGGCCATTAATAATGGGAAACTTATTTGTTTGCATTTGGAATTTCAATATTAACATTATCATTAATTTCTGTCTCTCTGTGCAAGAGGCTTTTTTGGAAACAAATTTGCATAAATACTGTAATGAAGATGTAACATGCACCAGTCAAAAGGCTGCTGCACTTAAGTATAGTTTATTGATTTAGCAAAATATCACTTTACTTACTTCCTGTTCCTGTAAGGCTGTGAGTGTTTGATCACTAATTTTCTTCTTTTTTTCCCCTCATTCTGTTCTGCTGCATTTAAGAAAATTCACCTAAACAGGAAGCTGGGGTTGGAGAAGGCCAAGGAAATGTGGGAGGAGGAGAAGAAGAGGAGAAGAAGAAGCAAAAGAGAGGCAAGGTCTAAATAGTTGATTGTGGTCCTGATTTCAAAGTAGTTTGGGACATCCCTTTCTCACCTGCTGGCCTGGAGCAGGGCACAAATTCCTTGCATTTTGGTGGCTAGCTCTGGAATGTAGGGAATGTATAGGGAATATCTTCCTCCCTGTGGTGTGTGCCAATGGAAATGCTGGATGGGAGGGACAGGCAGGGAGGGGTGACCTGCATCCTGGGCCCCAGTGTTCCTGTCACCACTGTCACACTCAGCCAGGGAGCAGCTCCTAAGCTGGAATCAGCTGGCATTTCTCCTGGAATGCTGTGCCCTGTTGGGCAGCACGTTCTGGGCTGCTTGCAGAGTGGAACAAAGGCTGCTTCCCTCTGTTAGTGCCTCATGACTCTGCTTTGCCTTTGTTCCTTCCACCTCTCTGCATTCACAGAACAGGATTTGGTTTTGTGCTTTAAAATCTGTTACCTGTGTCTCCATTAGCAGCTGTGTCTCCTCCCAGCAGTGCTAATGAAAAACGTTCTCAAAACCCAACTTTGGGAGGTATAAAGTTATGTGGAACAATTTAAACACACTTTTATCTTTGATCGTTGGAGCTCTTCCTGCTGAATTAATTAACATGCTTTCCACCATAAATCAGAGTTCTGGAGCTGTTACTATGCATTTGCCTGTGCAGTGTCAGTTGTGTGTAATGCTCCAGAAATTATGGTTAATACCCAGTAAGTTTCATATTTTATGCCACATATATTTTTGTTTTATTTTTGGTGTCTTGGTAACCAGTTTAATTTACCTTCTCAGCAGGCAGTGTCTAGTGACAACAGTAATTCATGTTCTGTAACTTGCATGCTTTTCCCAGAGATGTCAGGACATTTTATTTCAACATTAACTTGTTGTGAGGGGTGGGTGTGATTAGTTTTCAGTCTGGTATTTTGGTTCTAAAATAAGTGTTTAAAATATTTGGTGATTTTTCTCCTAGAATCTAAAGTTTCATGAAAACTTACAGCATGGTGTTAAGTAGGATGGTGTAAGAGTGACCATAAGAGTATGAGGGAAAACAAGCACAAACTTCATGAGACATTGCTGAAACTCACTGAAGGAAATTTAAGGCAGAAATTTACTGTCTAAAAATTATCAGACAGCAGTTCATAATAAAACAGAATTGGAAGAAGAACTACGTGTTAGAAACAGAAACAGTCCCAGGGGTTGGTTTACTTGTCATAAATTCTTTAGGTTTTCATGCTGAGAAGGCTCAGAAACATGAAACTTTGCTTACCCTGGAATAACATGGTGACTGTACACGAAGTTAGCTGAGATCTTAATCTGCCTTGAAGAATCCTAATGAGTGGAATGTATCTCTTGCATGCTTTACTGTGACTCAGAAGTGCCTGAAATGGGGAGTGCTCCCAGAGGCTGGCCTAGGAACAGGCAGGGGGAAAGTGTTAAAAGGTGTGGGATTGGGGTGCTCTCACAGCTGTGGGGTTGGCTGCTGGATCACATTTCCCTGTCTGCTCCACTGGGGTTGTGCCCAGGTGTCCAGAACTTGATCTGCTGTTTAACCCAGCAGCCTGGGGCAAGCAAGACCTTGTGGCCTCAGGAAATGGGCATGAGCAGCTTGCTTTGCCTCAGACACAAACCGTGAGGATGTTAAAACAGCTGTGGAAAATACCAAAGAAAAATTTATTTCTAGAATTATGTAAATGTAGACCAAACACAGTGATTGGTAAAGTGTGGGGAAAAGCCTGTTTTTGCTGATTGTAGTGGGGGTCTGCTGTGCAACCTGTGCTTGAATGCACATTTCACATGTGTATATATTGTTATTTCCCATAATACTGCACTTTGATAATGTGGGATCTCTCTTAAATCATAGTAAATGTATGCTTTTTTCTTTGATGAACATGACATAATTTAATTAATCATGTAACCTTATGCTCTGTTTCAAGGTGGAAGAGGTCAGATAAAACAGAAGAAGAAGACTGTACCACAGAAAGTTACGATAGCTAAAATTCCCAGAGCAAAGAAAAAATATGTCACAAGAGTGTGTGGCCTTGCCACATTTGGTGAGTTTGGGTTCTCCTGGTATTGGATGTGCCTGTCTTTAACCTCATGATATTTCTTCTGGTTGTATTCCACTGGGGAATCTGCTTCCAGCTGTGAGATGGAAGTCCCAAGGTGCTTTTAGCAGTTCCAAAGCATGTCAAAAGTACACTGACTTCCACAGGGATAAATTATTAGGTACTTAGTGCCATGATTTTTGAGACAAAGAGGGTTATAGGGTTTTTTTTAAAACAGGGTGCAGGCTCACCTCATCAGAATATGTAGAGAACATTCAGCAATTTCTACCTTGAAGCATTTGTAGATCTGTAGAGTCACATGTTTTGGGTGTAAACAACAGACTTGGCTTTCAGTGGAAACTCTAGCAAAAACTGTGAAGTGCCACACTTTTTCAAGTTAAAACAAAGATTTGGCTTAATTCTTGAGAAAATACTTTTATGACAACAACTGTACTTAAATTGTTCATTTTCCCCTGGGCAGAAATTGATCTTAAGGAAGCACAAAGGTTTTTTGCTCAGAAATTTTCCTGCGGTGCCTCAGTAACAGGAGAGGATGAAATCATCATTCAGGGGGACTTCACAGATGACATTATTGATGTAATCCAGGAGAAGTGGCCTGAGGTAATCAACCTTTCTTTCTCTCAGGAAGACACACACTTTTCCACACTAGCCTGTGATTTACCAATGATTTTGGAAAAGGGGTTCATCTTTGGCAGCACAGATTGCTGCACAAAAATAAAAGAGCAGTTGTTGCATTCCCACCCCACAGTGAGGGAGGCATGTCAGAATAAATGCAGCTGTCAAATATCTGTGCCTTCTTTGTGACCATTTCTTAACAGTGAGTGTCTAAGTATTCTTACATTGCCATCCTATTTTTCAACACCTCATAAAATACTGCAAAATTAAAACAAACAAAAAAGCCCCAAGCCCCACACATTTGTGCTTCAGAAGAGATCAGCCAGTGTGGGTTGGACTGAAATTTAAAGCTGTGAGCTGCAATTGCAAGGGCTTTCTCTGACTCTCCCTTGTCCTGGCATTTCCCAAGTGGAATTCTTTATGGTTTAACTCCACAGGGCTGTCTTTATTCCCAGCCCTGCAGGCTCAGCTGTGTCCTGTGAGCACGTGTCACTCAGCTGGGATTTGCAGCAGGGGATCTGGAATGGGGCTGTTCACCTCTCCCACCCCTCACTGCTTTTACAGGGGTGCACACTGAAGGAGGCATGTAAAAAGAAAACACTTAATTTGCTGTGTTTTGGCTTTTTCTCCCTAGGTGGATGATGACAGCATTGAAGATCTTGGAGAAGTCAAGAAGTGATGGTGGAGGGCTACCTTTATTTAATTATATGGTTATAAATGATATAGCAAAAGTGAGGCTTCTAAATCCATTTGCTCTGCAGTGAAACTGTGGAGAACCCATATCCTTGGCATTCTCACTGTTCTGTATAGGCTGCTTGGTTTTCTTTTTTGTTTTTGGGGTTTTTTTGTGATATTTGCCAAAGTTAAATTGGGGTTCTACCATGCTTAAGCATGAAGTAGATTTAAATAAAATTACTGTTCCTCACTGAATAGTTTCTGAGGTTTTTTACATCTACTTTCTTCTGTCTATCTTATGGGAAAATAAGAATTCAAGGCATTAAAAGTTTGTTTTTCTCCTGTTATGCTTTCTGCTGAGCTTAACTGAATAAGGCACGTGGCTGATGTAGACACTTTTACCTCTCATTCACTTGGAGAGAATTTTAGAAATCAGAATGTAACAAACATTCTAAAGGTTTGTTAACAGTGAATCCTGAAGTGGTCATACTACATCCCTGCCGACTGAATTATTTTATTAAGTGGAAACACTGAGAAATGTGTGAATATGACTTAGAAATTTATCCTATTTTCATAATTCCAAAGATCTCCCTACCCTGCTGGGCTTCTAGGTGAGGCAATTGTATTGGCTTTCAGCTTTTAACCTGCTGCTCATTCAAGCATGGTAGTAATAAACTCGAATTAATAGTGAGCACTATTCCCCAGGCCAGGTTACTGGGTGGGGTGCCAGCTCTGCTGTCTGTGCTCCCACAAACAGCCTCGAGCATCGATTTGGTGCTTTTTGTTTCACTGTTCCATTTAATAACAGCAAATGCTCCCTGGTGGCAGGGTCCTGGAAGTGACATGCTCCTGTCACTGCAGAACCTCGGTGAGCTGAAATCCAAGGGGGTGATGTGTCAGACTCTGTTCTCTTCCTGCAAGGTTGCTTTTTTCAGATTCCTATTTATAAACCATGGGTGTATCTGGAGAGATAACTCCATCCCTGTCGTTGGAAATAGTGTCTCTCAAGAGCTGCCTGCATCTCTACAGATGGAGACGAAAGTTGGACAGGAAAGTTGCCTCCAACTCTTAACATTCCGGCCTGGTTCTTACTCACCCCCTATTAACAACGTTATTAATTATCACATTTTTCTAGCAGCTCGAGCCCCGGGGTGAGGAGGCGGCCGCGGGATTCGAACCCGCGGCTGCAGGACTCGAACCGGGAGCCCCTGGACTCGAACCCGCGGCCCCTTCGCTGCGGGAGGCGGAGCTTCTTCCAACGGCGGGCGGGGCCGGGCGGTGCCGGTGGGTCGGGGGCTGCCGGGGTAACCGGGGATACCGGGGGGTAACGAGCGGGGACGGAGGGCAGGGAAAGCCTTTGGGCTTAGGAAAAGCCTCCCAGCCGGGCGGGACAGCGGGGGAGCCCTGCCCGGGAGCGGGGGTCGCTCCGCGGGGGCGGTAGCGCAGGGCCCCCCTCAGGCCTGCGGCCGCGGCCCGTGGCTCTAACGCCGCCCGTGCCCCCTCAGGGCCGGCGGGTGTGTGCGGCGGGGGAGCCTCCATGCTGAGCGTGACATCCTGCAAGTGTTCCCGGTTCCGCGAATGCCTGGCAGAGCCCTGGCCCCCAGTCCCCTATGAGTTCATCACTCCAGCGTTCTGCTTCGCCCCAGGTAAAAGATGGAAGTGCCGTTAGCAGTCGGCTCTGTTTTCGGTTCTCATTGTGCTGCTGCCGGCTTGAGTCATGGGCCGCAGGTGGTACCAGCTTGTTCTGCGAAGGGCTTCAGTCAGGGGCCACAGGTGGTACCACGAGCATAAGGAACTTCTTGGAATGGTCTCTATTTATAATATAAACACAGCTCAACTAAAAATAAACCCTTCGAGTTTATTATGGGAGAATTTTTCGCTTCCTGGTGTTGAAATGCATTCCATGTCTCGCTTTTTTGTAGGCATTTAGCCCCGATCACAAGAGCAGCATCATTAGGAGGCAGAGACAGGAGCTGAAGCTTTTAATTGCAGAACTGAAAGATCGTGACAAGGAGCTCAATGACATGGTGGCAGTGCATGAGAGACACATTCAGGCCTGGGAGGATGATCGCCAAAAAATACTGACCTTAGCAGAACGATGCAGCGAGTTAACTAGTAAGTGTTGTGGTGTAAAGAATGGCATCTTGCTCTTATGAGATTTTCAGGTGCTTCAACCCCTCAGTAACAGTTTTGCATCATATAAGGAAGATTTCCTACCCGTCAGCCTAAAATTTTATTGTTTCTCTGAGATCTAGACTTCCACAGTGGTGCTGAAGTGATCTGATCTTGAAGGGGGTGTGATGATCAGGCTCTTTCTTGTCTGAATGTGTGAATTGCTTCTGTGAATTCTTTAAAAAATAATCTGATTAAATGAATGTGGGGGAAGAGAAAAATGTGCAGCCTGCTGGTGAGTTACAGAGTCCTTTGCCCTGAGGTTCTGCTGCTCAGCTCTGAGCAAACAGAAACCACCCAGCAAAACACCTGGTGGCTCTGAACAGCCTCAGTACAGAGCTCACCACGCAGTTCCTGTTCCATCTGAGCTGGGCAGCCAGGGAATCCTCCTTCAGAGTGTGCAACATAAGCATCCACGTCTGAATTGTGTGATTTTAAAACACTGGGTGAAATTATTTCTGAGATTTAAGAAGTTGCACGCTCTCCTCTGAGTTCTTTCTCACGTACAACTTTGTCTCCTTCCTTTTCAGATGAGCTGAACGAGAGAAATGCAGTTATAAAATCACTGACCAAAAAGTTAAAGTTATTAGAATCCCAGCATAATGACAGTAAGATAACACTTGAAAGCACACAACAGAAGTTTAAAGAGCTCACTCAAAAAGTAACAGATTCATCTGTTCACTGCCAGGCTCTGGAGGTAGGGCTTGAGTGATGGTCTGGTTTTGTAGTCCATGCATTTACAGGATGCCTGTGATTAACTGTAACATTCCAAAACTGAGACATGCAGGGTATTAAGACCCTTGATCACAAGCAAGTTGGGGAACAGTTTTTCCTCCAGTCCTCTTTTCTCCAGTTTGCTCAGGATCCCACGTTGCCACTCATGATGTTTAAATAACGTTGTGGATGCATTTACTGGGAAAAAATAATAACTTTGAATCACTGGAGTAATGGCTGGCACTTATTTCTGTTCACTAGGAGAAAAATCAGAGTCTCCACTGCTCAGTTTTGGAACTGTCTGCTAAAACAGGCCAGCTGCAAGCAAGGGAACAGGAGCTTCTCTCTATGCTTCAGATGAAGGTAACATCTGTCAGCTCATGGGCACTAAATGTGGCCAAGCTGCAGTGCAGCTGTTGGTGGCTGTGCCACGAGGCTTCTGTCCCCGGTGATCTCACTCATGGTTAATTCTTAGGCTTGTTTGGGAAGGGAAAAATGGTCAGCAATAAACTGGTTTGTTTTCACCAACAAGCTTGCTTCCAAGATTTAATTTGGGTGGGTTTTTTCCTCAAAATCTCAGAAGGAAGTCTGTGGATCACTTTACTCCAGGAGGATGTTGTTTTGTCCAAACTCATCCATGATATTAAAAACAAGATTTCATTGTGTTTCCTATTTCAGGACAAGGCCTTAATTGAAACAACTGATCAGATCACTGAGGTTACATCTAAGTTTAAAACACTGGAGAATGCTCTGCGTACAGCAAAGTCTGATGAATGCAGTCGCAGCAGGGAGCACCAGGACCTCAAGGTGACACTGAACGATGTCATGTGTCAAGTAAATAAGATGAAAGGTAAATGTTTCTGCTGGGCACCTAATTTAGTGTGGGCCAGCACGATTCCTTTCCACTCTGGGAAATGCTACATTTTGATTTGCAGATATCCTCTCTGAGAAGATGAAAGAAAGCAGCAAGAACCAGGAAGAAATCAGTCACCTGAAGCAAGAAAATGGCTGCTTGAGGAGTGAGCTGATACTGGCAGGTGAGGGTGGGCAGTTGGCCTTCCATGCCTTGGCTTTCAACGGCTCAGAGACTTCTGGGCAGCAGTTCACTGATATCTGTGAAGGAGGCAGCTTGTTACCTGCCTTCCTTGCAGTTTAATAAAAGTATATCCCTTGTGTGCCATTCTTCTGTGGAAGCAATATCTGGGGCTTCTGCAGGGACACTTTATAAAGTCTTGTGAAAGCACAAAGTTCACCAAAGTGATTACACAGGGAGGAGTGAGTGGCTCAGGGGACTGAAAATGTTGAGACTTTCTCTTCTCTGTTGCTTTCTTTAGGTGATGGGATTGGTTGAGGCTGGTTTAATATGCAGGCCTTGATAAACTGCATCTTGCTCTCCATAATACCTTTGGTTTTGGGTGGAAGAACATCTGGTGCTGCAGTGGATGGGAAAGGTCACTGCAATATTCTTGGGGATAAGCACAGAGACCTTGAAAGATTAGATGGGCAAAGGTGTCTTCTGCTGTCAGATAATTTCTTTGCCTATGATTTTTAGTCTGCTGTTTGACCTTTGTCAGATATTGATGCCATGTCTCATTATTTTAAAACCAATAACATTGGGAATTGTTTTGCTGCATTTCTCTTTACGTGCATGAATTAAAATTAATTTTAACTGAATTTCCATTTTGATTTCCTCTTTTTTTTCTCCTTTTCCCTTTCCCTTTCTAAAAACATTAACTAAATCAGTCAATGAAGCACAATATTGCTGCTAGTAACATGAAGCCAGGTGCTGAGGAAAAGTCCAAGGAAAATACCTGAATTTTTGGTTTTTTGTGGGTTTTGTGCTCTTTTTATCTGGAGGAGAAACAGGTCCTGTTGATCTTAAGAAAATGCTTTTGTTTTGTTTCAGTACCACCTCCTACTGCTACAGGTGCATCAGCAATGCACCTGCTTTGTGTCTGTTCACCCGAAGTAACAAAAATAATTACTATCTTTTGAAACAGTGGAAGAAGCCCAGAGGAAGGATCAACTTTTTCAGTTTGCCAAGTCGAAGCAAGTGCGGATTGAAAAAGAATTGTCCAGTTTGCGGCAGGTACAGCCCTGGTTGTGTTCCTGCTCCGAGGTCAGAGGAGCATTTTCAGGATCATCAGACCTGTGTGGAACAGTGTCAAAAGTTAGATCTAGATAGTATTGATTAAGGAACAAAAATCTGTTTGTGCCTTGCTGGGATCCCTGTAGAATGTTGATTTATTTCATTTGGGGTTAAGATGAAAAGCCCACGGTGTTTCCAGGCTTGGGAAGTCACGTGAAGGGCAGCAGGGTTGGGATCACACACCTGCCCAAGGTGAACTCAGCAGAGTAAGGGACACAGTGTCCTGGCAGATCTGTTTTTCACAGCCTAAACCCTGTGTGTTCACCTGCTCTCAGCTGAGGTTCTCAAAACATGTTCCATTTTTTAAATTGCAAGTAATTGATGGGTAGTTACCTTCTCCATTAGCTTCACAAAAATCCCCAGTGAAAGCCAAATCCCATGATTATCATCCATGTCCTGTAATTCTGTAGCTGTGAACAATGCAATAACAACATGTATTAAATATCAGGTAATAGTAATGATGTTTTATTATTGTTCAGTGGGGTTCCATCTTAGAAGAATATTCTAATCTTCTAATAGAAATCCTGTTTATTGCTGCAAAACATTATTTTCCTAAATAGATGCAGAGTTGTCCTTTTAGATTTGGAAGTCTTTGTCAATAATTTGACCATGGTCATTGGTTTATACAAACATTTTGAGGATGTTTTTGGAAGACAAGCACTGTGGTACTACCTGCTGATGATGTTCTTGCACCCAGACATTCACCAGTGCCCCTCACTGCCTCTGACAGGTCTGTGTAAAACAGCAGCGAGACTTGCACTTCCTTCATGTCAACTTTGATAGCTCCCTGGACTCCAGGCAAAAACAGGAAAATGCATCAAGTGGAAAGAGGTAAAGACTTTTTTTCTTTTTTTTTTCCTTAAATAGTTTGTCCTCAAAGAGAGACTTCACTGTTCAGCCCCAGCTAACATCCTAACAGGGGTGTGTGCTGGGTCAGGATGGCTTTGCTGGATTTGACCACAAATATCCAGTGAAGCTGTCAAGTACCTTGTGTTTTATTTGGTCAGGAGAGACCATGAACACCAGTCACAGACCAAGTGTTGTAGCAGGCCAGACAGCTCATGATTTTTTTTAGAAAGTGAACTAGTCTGGTGGTAGGGGTGTTAACCTGGCTCCCTACTACTTTTATTTAAAAAGCAAAGTTTATTTTAGGAAGTAAACTTAGGGAATTGGTGCACACCCTGGAGGTTCAGACAGAATCACCATACTGTGATTAAAACATGAGGGAACTCGCAGACTGATTTTGAAAAGTAACAGCCAAAATCTGGGCAGATTTTCGGTGGGGTTTTGGCAGGATACAACTGCCAGGTGGTGAGTGAGCTGCTGCAGAACCGTGGCAGAGCCTGTGTTCTGTAGAGCTTTAGGAGTGCACTTGGGGATGCTCTTTACCTGCAGTGTTTCTGACTTGTTTTTGTCGTGCTGTTGTAGCTCAGAGGCCACATTCTCTGCCTCTGAAAGCCCCAGCGAGACAGACAAGGGTAGGACTGAGGGCAGCCACAGGATGTGCGAGGAGTGTGGAACTGCACCAGTTCCAGCAAGTAGGGTAAAACCCACCCCTGAGATGTGTGAAGTAGATAATAGACAGTTACTGAATGCTTCAGACTTGGAGGAAGCTGCCTCAGCGTTGTTAAGCCAGTGTCAAAAAGCTGTGAAAGGCTTGGCCCTGCCTGTGGAAGAAGGAGAAAAGCAGGATGTTGCATCAAGCTTTGATGAGCTAGACAGTGAAAAATTTCATGAGGTAAACAACACAAGGCCATTGAGAAACGGGGAAATTGGAGAGGATGAAGTGAAAAGCAGAGACCAAAAAACCTTTGAGGTGTCTTTGCCTTCATACGATCGTTGGCTTAAAATCAAATCTCGTGTAGATTTGCAAAGCACTTTAATCCAGAACAGCTCCACGTCTGACAAAACTGATAATGGAAACAAAACCTGGGAAGAGAGATCTGACACTGAGTCTGGCCAAAAAAGCAGAGAGACTCCTGTCACTTGCAAGTCTGACTCTGATTCCAGTATTAATAACTTCATTGTGAATAAAGATACGTGGTGGAAGCCACTCTCAGATCTGGAATGGCTGGAGATTTTCAAACCCAAAAAGAGAGATGAAAATACGCACCATGGAGGAGATTACAGCTGTTTGGAGACTGCACAAGAGATGAAATGTACCTGCTCACAAAGGTTATGAGTTTGTTGCCTTTAAGAAATAAGCATAAGCTAGGCTATGTAGAAACTTAGGTGTATAAGCTCTCAGTATTAGCTCAAGCTATGTTTAGAGTAACTGCTGTTTTAAATTTAGTTTTTCAACCTGAAAAAATAACAAATTTAAAATAAAAATAGCTCTTAAAGTATTGTGATTCTATTTTTATGCATTTGTTTTTTCTCCTCTCTTATCCCCAAGAGCTGTGTGGGCAGGAGAAGCTGCAATGCCGTATAACTTAGCCAAATAAACTAATTGAGAAAATCTTAAAGATTTTTTAAAATCCCAGATGTTGCTCATAATTCTGATGGGTAAAATATGTTCTGACCAGAGCTGGACTTGTGTAGTGATGTTTCTGTGAGGCAAGAAACAGATGCAGGTTTTGTGTGATGCTTTAGTGAGTGTGTTATTTCTATTGAGAAATCACATCTCGGCTGGGCAAGAATGTAGGACACAGCTCTGAGCACAGGCTGCTGCCTCTGTCAGGGCAAGAAATGAGATGGCAAGATGGAAAGGACAGCAATCTGTCCACTCTGCAGCTCGTGGGACTCTATCCTTCTGTTTGTGCTGTGGGAGGAGAAGGACATGTGGTTGGGGACAAGCAGGATGAGGTTCCTAATGCTGAGAAGTGTCAGAAGAAGACTCAGGTGCCTCGGTGATGTTGGAATGTCTCCGAGATAAAAAACCTGCTCTGCATTTACAGAAGTGGCTTTGTGCCTGCATGAGCAAAGGCATTCAGAGCTGGGACTTGCTGTGGATTTGTTCTGTTGGTTCCTCTATTTCTGTTCAAAAAATTGATTTAGCCAGCTCTGTTTTAGAAGGATTTCTGAAGTTTCACAGCGATTTCATAGCTGCTTTTTAGCCAGAGGAGAGGAGCCTTCCAGCTGGTGTTTGACAAGCACAGTAAATGAACAGCTGTTTAAACCTGCTCACAGTGTTTGCCAGCAAGCCTGCCCAGCATCCAAACAGAGTCATGTTATGGAATGGAAAGATCTGATGTATGGATGCTTTCATTCTGTGTGGCTTCTGAAACAGAAATATTGTAGGAATTGTTGCTGCAGTGAGACAGACCTGTTCAGAAACAAGGTGAATGGGCAGCCCCTGAAAAAGAATGCTGGCCTGGCACATTCCCACGTGCCTTAGCTGAGCTTCACACTCCATGTGGGCTCTCTCTAGTTTCCACTGCCTATAAATCACTGGAAAGGCTCCACTCCCCTTCTGTCTACCCTGACCTTCCTTATCACTCCCCCAGCAGCACCAATGACACACTGCCATCCCTCCAAATCCCTTTTGAGGCTGCATCATGAAAGCTGCTTTCACTTTTTGTCTTGCCCTATTTGTCTTGTCCTTGAGTGAATTTTAAGGGGAAAGGAACAAATTCAACCTGGGCAGTGCAGCTAGAAGATATCCTCCAGTTAGGGGGGAGCTGTGCTACCCATTTGGGATTTGCTGCTGAGCTCTCCACTTTTCTTGATGCCCACATTTGGTCCTGGGGCCCTGCTAATTGGAGATGGATTGACTCAGTGCAAATCCCCGACTGTCTGCTCTCCAGCCTCTGCTGACTCGGATTTGCCAGGCAATAAATCCTCACCCCTAAATGGGAGGAAGGCAGGAGCATTGCTTCTGTGAAGGGATTAATGGCAGGGACCAGCACAACATTCCTCCTGGGACTTGGATCTGGATCCTCCAGTTTTCCATTGCTGCTTTCAGAGTGCTGATGATGTAGTTTGTGTTTAGGGAAGGGTGCTGGCACCTCCCTGTCATCCCAGCAAATATTTTTGCCATGAGTTCCTGAGTTCTGGAACAGCCAACAAGGAGGCTGTTAACAGTCAAATGCCTTCCCCAGTGGCAGAGGGGATTGTGAAATCCCAGAGTGCAGGAGTCATTTCTGTGTGCTCTGACTTGGTGACTTCATTTATGTTGGGCCAGCATTTGCTGCCTTTGGATTTTTATCTCAATTCTCATTTTACAGATGGAGCATCAGCAGGTACTTGATGAGTCTGCCTGGGCTGGACTAAGCCACTCATTCCTGAGCCAGTTCCCTGCCTCAAAGCCAAACCTGTGTCCCCTTCCTTTCCAACCTGTGGGTTTTCCAGGACAGGCCCTGCTCATCTCATCTCATCTCCCCGCATCCCTGTTCCAGGCTGCTTGTTCCCTCACATCTCCACAGAACCTTTCCTTGTCAGAAACACAGACATGAGCTTTTCCCTCTTGAAGAGAGCCTGTTTTATCCCCGTCTTTTATGGGAGAAGTGAAATGGGACACAGCAAACAATTATGAGCTGGCAACTCTCATGAGGGCTTTTTCCTAGATTGAATGTCAGTTAAAAATGTACCTATTTTTAACAGTCTTGCCAGGTATGGACTGCATTGTTACACCAAAATAAGAATCTAAAGAATATCTACTGAAATGTCATCAATTCAAAGACAATATTTGCTTTAAAATACACATCTTTTTTCATTATTTGCCAGTCCAGGCAGGGCTAGCACTCTGCTTCTGTTGTGTTCAGAAGTTGATGAATGTGGTTTGCTGATGGTTTGTATTTAAAAAGAAATACATCCAAGCCTCTTTGGGAAAGCTCTCCTGTGATCTCTGAAGTGAGATGATGACTGTAAAACACTGTGAAATTCCCTTGAAAGGTACACCTGCAAATATTAATTTACCTAATGGTTGATTAGAACCAAAAGGACTTGGGTGTGAGAGGAATGAGTAGCAGAGTATTGGGAAGAACAAAGTTTTGCCTTTCATGTGCTCTTTGCAAGGTTAAATACACACTCAAGCACATGGTCATGGAGCTGGTTGAGACTGGTTGAATGTCAAACCCTTGTCCTCAGAGGATGAAACTGATCTAGGGAAGCTGTTAAACATGGGAGTGCTCTGGTAATCTCCCAAGCTTCTTGGTTTCCTTGGCTCAGAGCCCACTTTTATGTTGTGCCATGATTTTCCCTTGAAAGTTTAAAAAGGATGGTGATGCTATTTCTGCCAATGTCTTTTTTTTTTTTTTTTAACAGTGAAGAAAATGTGGATCTGAATTCCCTCCACTTGGCTTCTCCTCTCTTGGCACCCACTGAGAAGAGCAACCTGGCTCAAAGTTCTGGGCAATTCTCTGATGAAGATTCCCCTCTGGACATCAATGACCTGGCAGTGACTAAACCAACAAAGAGATACTGCATGAACACAGTCAGTACCTTACTGCACAATGTTCTTGACTGATTTTGAGGGGAGTTATGGGGAATTATGACTGATGGTAGGAATGCAAAAGTCTCCAGGCATGGAAGAGCGCTGGGGACTCAAATGATGAGATAGCAGTTTTATGGCAAAGGTGATAACATTTTTTTTTAAATAGCTCCTTGTTACCTCAATGTGTCTTGGACAGCATAAGTATAAATGAATTTTTAAAAAATTAATAAGGTTTTGGAATGAAAAGCTTCAGGAAAATATATGCTGGCTAATTGGTAATTCCACTAAAAACCTGGGTACATGTGGATGCAGTTATCAGAAGCTATTGGACATGGTTTCTTTCCTGTTCTGCTTGGTTTTCCCTCTTTCTCATGTCTTTATTCTCCTCTTTATCCCTAAAGTACTTCTCTTGTGAGTGCTCCATATACCTGCACGTGGAAATCTGTTTAAAATGGCACTAGGAGAGAGCTCTGTGTTTATCAGAAACAGCAGCAATCAGACACAGTCTGTTACTTTGCAGTATTTTGAACAGAAACATTTAAAAATCAAAATGCTGATTCTTGGTGCATTATAATTCTTTGAAATCCTCCAAAAAAAGATCCTTCCCTAACTCTGGCTCCCTCTCTGTCCTGCAGGACACCAGTTCCCTGTTCTGGAAGCTGGAGCGCTCGCTGGCCCAGTCCCGGCAGATGCTGACTGACCTGGAGCTCAGCCTTCTCCACACAAGCATTCCCAACACCAGCAACATGAGCAAGGTTCAGATTGCTGTCCCAGGACGAGGTTGAGGTCTCAGGGATGCTGATTGGGAACATCCTTTCCCTTTTGCTTGTCTTGCACTGCATTAGCAAAGCATGAGGAGGATATTGGTTGTGAACAGACAATTCCTGCATGCCTTAGTGCTTGAATTTTTTATGGGATTCTGTTTGGCTGCTCAAGGTCATGACAGGATTTGACTCCTGCATGTGCCTGAACAGATGGAAGGCAGAAGTCATTTTGGGGCAAGCTGTAGGAGGTCTAGAAAAAAGTGAGCACTGGTTCTTTCTGACTTGAAGCAAATTAGGTGATTTCTCAGGCTCAGCACACACTCACTGTTCTGCTCAAAGTCAGAACTGGTTTATTATTATATTCATGGAGAGGAGGGCAGTATAGGGAATATATAGGATTCTTTGGGTATGAATTTAAAGCAGAAGCTCAGCTTAAATAAAGGCAGAGTTCTTGTGGGTTAGTAGTTGTAGCTCCTTCATTGCAGGGTCAGGGAATATATTCAGTGGTCAAAGAAAAGAACCTGTATGTAGCTGTCACAGCAGTTTATTTTATGAGCACAAGTGCTGATAAAGTTCCTGTTGAGTATTTGGGCAGCAGAAGTAATCAGAGAAAGGGTCACTTGTTTGGTGGGTAAATATCCATAAGAATTTCTACCTTGTTTGACAAGGACATTGTACCTTTTGTCCCTAGCAATGGGCAAACTTGTGCTGCTGTATATCCCAAAGGGAGGATTTAGGCTCCTGCTTTCAGAGCAGTGCTGAACCCTCATGTTCATCCTCACACGTTTCACCTCCCTCTAAAAAGTTGCACTCCTTTTAGCCTTAGATGAACCTGACCAGAACAACGTTGCTGTAAGGAGCAGACAAAGCCATTTTTATAACATCCAGAACCATAAACCCTTCCCTGTGCTGGGCCTGACTGTAAAGGTTGTGTGCCAGCGTTTGCATAAACTGAAAGGATATTTTGTTCAGAAGTTCCTCTGCAGGATTTCATTCACTGGCAAAGACAGCAGCAGTTTAGTCTTTTGCAAAGACTCCTGAGTAGGAGGATTCCTGAAAAGCTCCCTGCACACAGTGCTTGCTTGTGGCTCTTGCCCAGCCCCATCAGCTGTCTGGCTCCTGCTCCCTGCTTGGCACGTCACTGCTCAGCTCCTCTGTCTGCCCATGACTCTGCTTTAGGATCTGATGCTGCATTTTTGAGCTTGGAAATTGGCTTCTCCTTCAGCTTTAGTGGACAGAAAATGAAGCAAACTCGTGTGCAGTGGCGGGAGCAGATCCTGAGCCACATGTGTGGAACTTTGATCTGCTTTCAGAGCAGTTCTGGGCAAAAACTCGTCAAGCGTGTTTGAGTTAATCTATGCAGGCCAGCTAACCTGTGCTTAAAACCAGGCTTACCTGGGGCTGTTTTAAACTGAGATTTAGAACGGAATAAATATGCGATACAGCCTTTAGAATTTAATCAGGGGGAAGTGGTACATGTTGGGTTGTGTGCCCTGCTGGGGTGGGGAGGAGAAGGGGGAATTAAGAACTGTACCCCTGCTGCTCAGCAGCTTGAACCTGGCAGCTCTGGAAATTTTATTCTCTGAGTCCTTTGATTTCCAAGTAGTGTTTTTACATTACAATAGAAACAACAGAACTTGCAGGAACTCTTCACAGAAGCCAGTTACCTGCTGCAGAAGAAAGAGATGCTAAGCTTCCTTTTTTTCTTTGTGATGTTCCCTGAGCATCAAGGTGTTTTCAGCTTGATCTTTTTTTGTTTGCTTCCCTCTTTATAAATGCATCTGCAATATTAATGCCCTTTATGGATTTTTGACATGGGCCTGGCGCAGGATTCTAAGTGCATTTCCAATAAAACTCTTGTGAGTACTGTAACAGCAAACAGATATTAAGTTGGCAAATAGTTCCTTTAGTCAAATAATTAAACTTCTGTGAAGCGTGTTCCTCATCCTCGGGGCAGTCAGATCTCACAGCTTCATTCCCCAGTACCTGCACTCTCCTTATTAGTAGTTAAAACCCTTCTGTGTGTTACAGATAACAGGATCAAGGATGTGAACATTGTTGAACGAGAGATTGGGAAGTTTTTTCCAGTGCCAAGGCCAAGGGCTGTTTTAGGATACTGTTCCTGGGCTCAGAGCCCCAAAAGTAGAATGTATTGAATAGAGCTGTTTCAGAATATCCAAAGCAGCCTTGCCCACAGCAGAATGTGGTTTTTTTGGTTTTTTTTTTTGAATCAGGAAATTTCTCACTCTCTGATTATTTGTTCTCCTATTGTGGATTGGATGCTTGCAGTAGGCACCACCTTGTCTGGTTCTGAGGACAAAAGAGTAACCAGATATGGTTAAAATCCTGAACACCACATGAAACTGAATAAGAACCAGCAACAATGAGGAGAGAAACTGGCAGGAAAAAAAAAAGAAAAAGAAATCTCCCAGTGCTGACACAGCCCAAGCTGGTGCCTGCACAGGGAGGTTACAGAGGCTGTGGCACTGTGTGACTCCAGCTGTGCACCAGCCTCCATCCCGTGGGGAGCTGGTGCTCAGTGCTCTCTTGGATATTCCAGCTGCAGTCCCTGAGCTGGCTGTGCCCTGGGGAGTCAGGCTGCTTTGGAGTTCTGCTGGTTCTGCATTAAGCCTGGAGACACTGAGAGCCCTGGGCTCTGAGGAGTGCAGCTGAGGGGGCACCCGGGGGAGATGGGTGCTGAGGAGCTGGAATGCCAACCCTTCCTCTGCCCTTCCTGTGCACAGAGAGAGCTCTTCTTTTCCTGAAAAGAGCCCTGAGGTAAAAGCAGCAGAGGTTTTGTAGGTTGAAGCCAGCACTGTGACTTGCATCCTGAAACCACTGATGTTACAAAGCTTCAGGAGCAAATCCCCAAAAGTGCTGAGCCCCGTGCTGAGGCAGCAGAGTGGGGAGAGCACGCTGAGCCTACAGAAATAATCACATTTGCCTCAAGTGAGGAAGAGCTGGTGGAACAAACACACCACAATCCACTGTAGATCATGGCAAGAATGAGTGGCTCTCCGGGTCACTGGCTAATGCATAATTCTCATTTTCTTTCTGTGTTAAAAGTCACTGAATCACTGTGATCAACTAGATCTGAAGCAGAGCAGGTCCAGAAATAACCAAACATTTGTGCAGTTTCATATACAGAAGTGATTGAATTGATTTTGGTTGTGTTTGTTTGGTTTTAAATTGCTTTGAAACTCTTTGGAGGGCAGGTGCACTGGCAAACATTAGGGCAGTTCCCTCCCTAGCTGCCAATGATTAGCCATTCTCATCAGTCAGTTGTTTTGCCTCCAGAGAGAGGTTGGGTGGGGGGGAGTTGAAGAACTCAGGAGGAAAGCAGTGAGGAAAGGGCTATTTTCAGTTTTGGACACAGCAGCATGTGCCAGTGCTCATAAATGGTGACTCAGTGGCTGGCCTGGGGCACAGAGATCACTCCTTTCCTGAAAGCCAACTGGAAAGGTTTTATTTCCCAACATCCTGCTGGTGGCCCTGAGACTGTTGCCTTTCTGTTAAGTACTTTGTTTACCTTTCCCTCTTTATATTTTTACTCCATGTTCTCACTCTGTTTGCAGTGTGAAAATTTGTGTAGTAAATTCACATAAGTGTGCTTCAGATAAATTCACATAAGTTGCTTCAGGTATTTCAGAGGAAATGTTCGTGCTTTTTAATAAAGATATTTTCCCTTTTCTGCAGAGGAAGAAGTTGGTTCCAACACAGAGGTAATTCTCAGGACTGAAGATCATTGACCCAGCAGCTACAATGGAAAGTTACCTCATTTTTTTTCCCGTGGTCCTCCTGAGTGTTTGAAAGACTCACAAGTGGCAAGAAGATGTGACTCTGCAGGAATGTATTTTATCTTGAAATAAAACACAGAATAATGCCAAGATTAACAAAGCTATTTTTATAGCTGAGAGCTCAGGTTAAACACTAGCTTGTTTTTAAGAGTCTGAAGTGTGTAATTGTTACAACATAGGAACTACTTTTCTTTTTTCTTTTTTTTTTTATGGTGGCTCAGAAATATTTATAGAGTATGACACAGCCAAGCATTCTCCTTTTTTTTTTAGGATATTGTTTTTGTTCTGGATTTTTTGCCTTGTAGAGAGAGATGAATAATGTTTATAGGAAGTTCCCAATTAGTGTTGTAAGCAGGAACTGCCTCTGATGTTGCTGAAATGGGAGAGCTGTCACCCACGAGATGGGCAGAACAACTTTCCACACTCAGGAGCTGCTTCTTCCAGAAATGTTTATGGGATCAGGTGTGTATGGCCTCTGTTTGCACTGTAGAGGTGGCCAAGTATGATGGCACCTTTTTTTTAGCATTTAAACTGGATTTATGTTTGCTGATTGGGCAAGATGTGCTGTTATCACAACTTGAACTTACTTTTTAACGAAGAGATCAAATAAGCTGACAAAGGTGATACTTTGTCTCTCCTGCCCATTTAACACATTTAGCATTTGATTTCTGACATTTCTCAGCACAGGCACGAGTGGGCTGCCCAGTCCTGTGTAGGCTGGGAGCACTTTGGGACCCCAGTGCCCCTCCCACAGCCCTGTGCCAGCGTTTTTCCTGCTGGGGGAGCCAAGGGTGGGAGTTTCTGCTCCATCCACTGCCACCAGTTATTGCAGAGAAACACAACACGCTGGATTCTTCTTGTTAACTCTTTCATTTCATTTTCTGCTTTCTCTTTAATTGCTCCAGTGGCAGCCTTTCCTGCAGGTATTAATGGCCCCAGGATTGGGTGGCCAGTTCTGATGAGAGCTGCTGTTCTCCAGACCCTTTCCCTGCCTGCTCACCAGCCTTACCCACAGAGGGAAGCTCAGCTGCTCCAGCTCTTTCCAGGTTTCCTTTACAGTGCATTTATTCCTCTACCTGCACAGGGCCTTCTCAGGCTCCATCCTCACAATCTCCTGCTCTGGGTGTGACAAGAATTCCCCCTAAAAAGCCAACGATGAGAATGCCATGATGCTCACCCTGAAGCTGTCCAGCAGCTGCAAAGAGAAATTGGTGCAGGTTCCAAGCAGCAGCTGCCTTTGAATGGTTTTGAGGTTATTGGATGAACTCACTGGGTTTAAACCCCTGGAGAGTTTAAAATGATGACTTTAAAATCAATATAGAAAACTGAGCTCAAGTGATGCATCAGGGATCTGCAGAGCCTTAGGATTTTGTGTCGGGGCTGCCCTGGATTTGTGGAATGGGAAGAAGGGAAACAACTGGGTTAATTTATTCAGCACTAAGTGACTTAAAACCCAACTGCATTATTGACCACACTCCGATGCTCGAATGGAAACGCTTCAAACTCGGTGCCTTAACTCTGGAAGCAGCTCAAATACTCCAGGGAGCCTTTGCTATTGTATCCTTGGTTTGAATTATTATTTAAAGACAACAAAGCTCCTGTTCAGCCCCGGCCTTTCCGCAGGGTGGATGCGAGCTCCGGTCATTGACTTTGCTAACGGGAACGGGTGTTGGAGCCCCGGGGCTCGGAGCGAGCCGCGTGTGCGCGAGTGGCGGAGGGGTGAGGAGGGGCGCTGGCATGGCACGGTGGCGCTGGCCGTGACCGCCGTGCCAGGTGCCTGGTCCTAAGGGACGTGTCCCCCCCGCTCCGTGTCCCCTCTCCGTGTCCCCTCCCCGTGACCCCCGTGTCCCCTCTCTATCTCCGTGTCCCCTCCCCGTGTCCCCCCGTGTCCCCTCTGTATCTCCGTGTCCGTGTCCCCTCCCCGTGTCCGTGTCTCCCCCGTGTCTGTGTCCCCTCCCCTTGTCCCCCCCTCCGTGTCCCCTCCCCGTATCCCCTCTCTATCTCCGTGTCCCCTCTCCGTGTCTCCTCTCTATCTCCGTGTCCCCCCGTGTCCCCCCGGTCGCACCTGCCCGCGGGGGTAGCGCCGGTCGCTCCTGCCCGGAGCGCGGAGCCCCGAGCGCCGGCACCGGAGCGCGGACACCGGAGCGCGGACACCGGAGCGGGCGGCTCCCAGCGCGGCCCGCCATGAACAGCATCAAGAGCGTGCCGGCGCGGGTGCTGAGCCGCCGCGGCGGGCACAGCCTGGAGGCGGAGCGGGAGCAGTTCGACAAGAGCCAGGCAAGGACGGCGGGAGGGGGCGGCGGGGCCGCGGTTACGGTCCCGGTTTTAGTCCCGGTCCTGCTCCCGGTTAGGGGATGGGGGGAGGCGGCCCTTTCCGCGGGGCATCGCCTCGGGGCGCGCTGGGCGCGGAGGGCTCTCGGGCGATGGGATGGGACGGGATGGGGGGCGCGGGTCCCGCCGGGCTCCGGGGAAGCCCCGGTGGGGCAGCCCCGGTGGGGCAGCGCGGCCGCCGTCCCTCCGCCCGTCCCCGTGTCCGCGGTGCCGNCGTGCGCCGCCGCCCCCGCGGGCACCGGGCCCCGCGCCCCCCCGCGCCGTCCGGGCCTTATCGCAGGTAAACACGGCCGGCAGCACACCGGAAAGTTTTATGGTGCCGGCGGGAGCGTGGCCGAACCGGGGCTCCACGGCAGCCCCGGGAATGGGCATCTCCGCATCCCTGCCCAGCCCCGGGCCCACCGGCACCGGGGATTGTTTCGTACCGGGGCTGGGTTCACCCCTGCCCCCGGCTCCCGGTCACCCTGCGGGGATGGGGGTGTTCGGACCCGCGGAGGGCGGCAGGGTGGAAACAAAGCCCAAAGGCGTTTGTGCCCCGTGGTGTCCGGCTGGGCCGGGTGTCCGTGCCCCTGTGGCCCGCAGGGGTGGGCAGTGTCGGGCACTGGTGGGGCTGGTGGGAAATGAAGTGCTCAGACAGGGATGGGCAGAGGGATGGACAGAGTGACGGGCTCGCTGCTGCCCCAGCAAAAATAACAGTGCCTTCCCGCATGGCTCCCCCGACCCCTCTGCTTCTGCAGGCTGTGCTTTCATCGCAGATGTTTCCCCTTTGCCCCTTTGCTTTGCGGCTCCTTCCTCAGCCCCCGGGCTGGTTTGGCCCCGAGAGCGCCAGCGAAGGCAGGTGGGAATTTCAGGCCTCGCAGGGTCACGGTAGGAAACGGAGCTTGCTGGGTTTGGGGAGCAACACGGGAAAGAAAACCGGCAATTCCGGTTCCCTCTGGACGCGGCTCCTTCAGTCCCGCTGGGCAGCGCTGATGAACGATCAGATCGCGGCACCGGGGCTGCCCGACCGGGACCAGGACCGGGACCCTCCTTCCCACCCCCTTCCAGGGCACCTGTGCTCTGGGAATCTGTGCAGCCACAGGGATGCTGCAGGCAGGGACATGGACAGGTGACCATCTCTGGCTGATGGTCACACTCACTGCCCAGAGCTGACCTTTTTTCCAGCAGCTGCTAAAACCTGTCCTAAAGGAGCTTTATTCTGGTGTGGTTTCCTGTAGTGGTGCTTCAGTGGGAGCAGAACTGTCCAGTGTCAGAACGTGGGTATTGATCTGCCTTTTTCCTCTAATTATAGCAGCTGCCCAGCCAGCCGCCAGTCGCCTCTGTGTCACGGGGGTGCTGGCACGTCCCCTCCTTGTCTCTGTGTCACAGGGGTGCTGCTGGCACGTCCCCTCCTTGCCTCTGTGTCACAGGGGTGCTGCTGGCACGTCCCCTCTGCTCCCTGAGGATTCTGTACCAGAATCCAGAGCCCTGTCACCTTTTCCCCTGTGAGGGCTTGGGTGATGTCTGGTTACAGACAGGAGTTGCTGACCCTGCTGTGATCCCAGGTCCCTGTGGGTGACATGAAGGTCACCGGCTTTCCCTGAAAATGCTTTTCCATGTCTTGTGTCAGGGTGATGTAGATGTCTCCCTTGTGTGGGAAGTAGGAAATCACCATCCCACAGCAGGCGCTCGCTCGGCAGCCTGGCAGGAGGAAAAACTTGTCCTTTTCTGCTGCCAGTTTTTGCTTTTCTAATACAAAAACGTTAAAAATCCAATGAGCCCTGGAACCTGCAGGATTGCATTGTGTGTGACTGCCAAGTGGTGTTTTCCTGGTGTAATTTGGGAAGGAGCAGCGTTAGGAAGGGAGCTCTGGAGATCATAGCTCAGCTGCTCTGACAGCTCTTGTGCTGCCTGGCCAGGGGAGGCTTCCAGCTGCCAAATAATCTCTCCATCCTGCTGAGACCCAGCATCCACCTGCCCCGTGGGGATTGGGACCCCGTGGGATGCCGGGGGCGGGAGGATGAGCCCTAATTAAAAGCAGCCAGGAACGAAAGGGTGGATGTTAAATGGATGTTAAACTGCGCTCCTTCATTTGGGCGCTTTGATCCCGGCTTTAGTCACCGCCTTGGTACGTGCAGCTGTGAGCAAAGCACTGGGGCTGCAGCCCTGTGGGATCCCACAGCCCACGGCCAGGCAGGTTTTGGGGTTGGCTCCTCACCCTGTGATGGGGAGCAGTCCACAGATTGCATCAAAGTTTTGGCCAGGCTGGTTGTGCACCTGCAGTGACAGCCAGGACCTGCCCATCTCCGGACGTGCCAGTGGTGTGCCAAGAGGCTGGGTCAGGGGTGAATCTCCCCATTTTGGAGCCATCCTCCACAGCCTGGCTTTGCCAGCAGGAGCATCCTGCCAGCACACGCGTGCCAGGCTGCACCACAGGCTGCCCCATGCTCTTCCCTGGTGCCACCATCCCGTTTTCCTGGATCTCCTGGCCAGCTTGGTGCTTGGAGGCAGTGAAAGCACACTGGGCTGGCAGCCCTGAGGGACTGGCACTGGTTTGGTGCCCTGTGGTTTATCTGGGACCATGCTGGACCTGGCATCTCATGGTGGTGCTGTGGGTGGGCTGGGGCTGCTCCTGCATGGGCCCAGTCCTTGTGCTGGACATGAAATGGCTCAGTGAAACCTCTGCACTGGATCCCTAAGGATGAAACCAACCTCTCCAGCAGCTCCTGGGCTGACTTTTGGCTGGTCAGGCTATCAGTGAGACTAAGGGCAATAATTGCAATAAAACCACCACTGCCAGTGGGAATTACAGCTCTGTTTTGGGACAGAGCAGCAGGGTCCCAGCTCACTCAGCAGCTGAGGTCCTGTCCCTGGGGATAGGGGACAACATTTCCTTTCCTGGGTGTCTGCCCATCTCACACTTTGACCCTTCTGGCTGTGCCTCCTCCAACCCTTGTGGGGCTCAGGTTCCATGGATGGGCTGGGACAGGCCTGTCTTGGGGCAGGCAGCAAAGCTCCCAGCTTGGGAGACGTGTCTGCCCTGCTCCCTCTGTGCAAAACACCTCAGGACAGATGCTGTAACTCCTTCAGCAGGAGATGCATTTCCAAATCCTTCCTTGCCTGGCCCAGGATAAGCCATCCTTTCTGTCAGTGTCCCGTGGGAGGTGCTGGCATCCCTGGGGACCTGTGGCACATCCCTCTGGCCAAGCTGCCATCGAGGGCACAGCCTCTGCCAGCTCCAGGCTTTTGGGTGGCTGTGAAGGCACTTTGGGAGAGGCAGCTGTGCTGCAAGTGCCTGTTCCTGGGCACTCCAGGCTCGTTAACCTTTGGGGATAAGAGGATTACAGCAAGTCACCGGCTTAACTCCACTGCTGCTTTAGGGCCCCACATGGCGGGGTAACCCCGGGACTCTCCTGGTGCAGAAAGGCAAAGCCTTTCCTCTCCCCAGCAGCTGGGCCAGCCTTTTGGGACAGGTTCACTCTTTGGGATGATTCAGAGTTTTGCTGCTGTCATGGTCAGTTCCTGGGCAGCTGTTCTGGCCTCTTTTTGGGTGGGTTTTGTGCATGGACACCTCTGACATTGCCCCTTTGGTGTTGGGTTCCTCCTGCATAAGTCAGGAGCACTCGATAACTCGGGGTCAGGTTCCTCCTCCTACAGGAAAGCACCTCATTTCAGAGGTGTCCCTGGACAAGCAGGGAAGAAGGTGCTTTCCTGGGCAGGTAGAAAAGATTTTTATAAGGCTTTAGGGCTGGGGAGCTGCAGGGAGGGACCGAGTTCCTCTTCCAGCACAAGTGCTGCCAGCAGGGTGCCTTCCTGCCTTCCCAGCTGGGACCTTTTTCCTCTGCTGTTGGCAGAGGGCTCATGGACACAGGCACAGCCCAAGCACTCCTGCCAGGGTGAAGCATCCCAGCTGAGTCTGAGGAGGAGGAGGAAGATCCCCATCAAACACAGCAACTTGGATTTGCAGCCCATCAACACATGGGGGATGCAGCCGACCCCACTCTGGGGTCATCTTTTGGAATAAATTCCTAATTTAAAGTCTGCTGTGATCAAACACATCAAAATATAGATAATCCTCTTCTGATAATCACATTGCTGTGGATTTTTGCTCCATCAAGATGGGCATTGAGGCTACCACTCCCTCCTTGCTTGGGGGCTGCTTTTCCCCACGTGCTGTTTGCACGCAGCAACATCCTCAGCAGAACCCAAACCACTCCCCCGTGGTTCAAAGGCTCCTTGTGATTACACAAACAACCCTGGAATTTGGCATCTCACTATTGTGCTTTAATGTTCCTCTGGCACAGCGCTGAGTTCAGGCTGCAAAAATGCAAAAATTGGTTTCCTGGGACAGGGACAGCCGGGAGCACCAGCAGCAGTGGTCAGATCCTGCTGGGGATGGGGGCTTTAATGGATGCTTTGTCTGTGGATAAAATGGATAAAAATTTGTTTGTGGATAATGGATGCTTTTTTTTTGTGGATTCTGATGTGTTACAAATGACTTTGAGGTGACAAATGTGTTCTAAAACTCAGGGTATTCCCCAAAAGCAC